GTTCGATATTACCCTACTAAGCGCAGTAGAATAGCTATAATATTAGCTGTAGAAAAATACCAACTAGAAGAAGGCGCAGAAGCACCTCTAAACCTAGCTAAATAAGCTAGATAACTAGAATAACTTTTAAAATATAGAGGAGAACTTTAATAAATTTACATACCTTTTCTATAAATATATACAGGCTATAATTGCTACTATAGTACCTATTATAAGGCTATTAAAATAGGTATTGCTAGTATAGTTAAAAGAATACTTAGAGAAAGTATATAAAACTAGAAGGGCGTATAGAATATAGCGCTTATCGCGATTTATAAAGGACTAGATATTATACTATATCTAGTATAACTATAAAAAGAAAACTATATAAAAAAAAAGTACTAAGGTGTAGCGCTATATAGTAGAAAAAGTAATAAAGGACCTAAAGAGTATATAAAAGCTGGCTAATTAAGGCTATATAGCTAGTAAGGAATTAAAACCTCCGCCTTAATTTCCCTTTTTTTTAAAACCTAAGAACCCTACTTTATATATAGATAATAAAACAAAAGTATATATACTAGCGGAGCAGTTTTTTCCGCCTCCGGCTAATATAGACTTATCTAACCTAGAAGGGTTCTAATACCCGGAACTATATAACACTACGCTAGATATTATAATTAAGGATATTTTTTTTAGCGCTAATAGGAACTGCTCTAGATAAAGCCCTGGGTATTATAGGGATTACTAACAGGTTTCTTAAGAAGTGCGAAATATAGCTGGCGCCTATACTGGCTTAGTTCTTTATAAAGTACCTATATAAAGAATACTATCCTCGGCCGTTTAAAAATTCTATTATAGTAGTGCTATATAAGCCCTAGAAAGCGTCCTATATAATAGCAAAAGCCTATAGGCCGATCGCCCTGCTAAAAATAATAGGTAAGCTATTTAAACGGATTATAGCTATACGGCTATCGAAAATTGCGGAAGAAAAGGATATACTTCCACCTAGTTAGATAGGGGCACAACTAAAATATTTAATATAGACAGTACTTAAGCTTTTTACTAAATAAATCTATACTATATAGAAAGGAAATCTATAGCTTATAGTATTACTTCTTAGCCTAGATATATTAGGGGCGTTTAACCGTATATTATATAAATATATAATATATAACCTATAGATTTAATAAGTACTAAAGTAAATAGTTAGGTTTATAAAGTCCTTTCTACAGGACCGTACTATAAGGCTTGCTATTAAAAACTTTATAGTAGAACCTATTATAGTTACTATAGGAATACTGCAGAGCTCCTCTCTATTACTAATACTCTTTCTTTTCTTTACTAGTATACTTCTACTAATACTATAGCGCGGTAATATAACAGCCTATAGGTTTATTAAGAATATAAATATCCTTATATATAGTAAAAGTATAGAAGAAAACTGCAGGGCTATTAAATAGGCGCATAACTAGTATATAAAGTAGGTAAGAAAGTATAAAGTAGTCTTTACGCTAGATAAATACCACCTAATATACTTTATAAAAGCCTGTAAGTTTATTAATATAAAAGCTATAGTTAATATATAGGGCTTTACTAAAGGCCCTATAATAAACCTAAAAATACTAGAGGTCTAGGTAGATTCTAAACTTAAATAGGGCCTATATATTAACACTATAAAAAATAAAGCTATAGCCTAAATAGAGGCCCTTATAAGGCTTATAGCGTTAACCTAGAGCGTAAGCTTCCGGAAGGCACGTATAATATACTTAGCGGTTATTAGGCCTGCTATTATATATAGATACACCTTCTAGTATACTATACTAGGTATAAAAAAGCAGATTAGTAAGACAAAAATTAAGCAGCTTAAAATAGCATAGAACTAGTGCCTTTATACTATTTTAGGGGTATATAAGATAATAAATATTAGGGTAATAAAGTATAAAATATTATACCCTCTACTCCGGCTAAAGCTAGAGGAACTTATAGTAGCCTACGCGGACCGCATATATAAGGGGCTAGCCCGTAAGCATATTAAAACCTAATATAGCCGTATAAGAGAAACGGTCTATACTAAATACAGGCCGAAAGGAATACTACAGTACGGCCTAAGCAGGCGCAATAAACTCTGTAAGCTCGTGGTAAAGGTATTACAGCTAGCCGCATAATATAAAGGCGAATCGGAAGAATCCTATAGGCGTATAAGGCGTAGTATAATCTAGGATAAATATAAAGAGAAGTAGAAGAAGAAATAAAAAGCCTACTATAAAGAACTACGCTAAGAACCCCTAATACTAGTACTTAATACTAAATAGAGCAAATAATAAGAGGCACTATATAAAGAACTTATAAAGGTAGAAAGTATAATTATTATAAACCTACAGACGGAGTATATAGGGCTTAACGGTTACCTCTACTATATAAAAGTGCCCGGCCACCTAATACCGGCATGCCCTTGCAGGTATAGCCTTTAATCCCTAAGATATATTATAATAAGTTACGGAAAACACGTTAAAAGCAGGGGCGAGCTATTCTAAAAGGCTAAAACAAGAACGTATAAACAGCTCTATAGAAGCTAGAAAGGAAAAAAGGCTGTAGCCTAATAGCTTCTCTAAAGAATAGACCTCCTGCTATACCTTTTAGTAGCTAGAAAGATAGCAGAGGCGGAGATATAGGTATTCTACCTTCTATAACTTTATATAACTATATATACTACGTATACTATATATACTATATATACTGCGCATACTATATATACTATATATACTACGCCGCCTATATTACGCACCTACCTAATAGCTATATCTACCTATATACCGCAGCCCCTATATATATTGCAGCCTATATAGCACTACCCCCTATATATATTATTTAATTTAAGGACTAACGCCTTAATAAAGGGCACGCGTGCGAAATAATAGCACGCGTGCCCTTACGCTAATCCTAAACCAGCTTACTACTCCGGAATTAACTTAACCTGCGCCTAGGAGAACGACTATAAAACCCGGATAGATTTAGGAAAACGTATTATAATAGCTTATTCTATAGTAAACTTAATAGATCTACTATATATTCCTAATAGCTATATAATAATAAGAAGAGCGCTTAGCGCTATATACCGCAGAGGACGGGGTTTTTATCTAAACGCTGTATAGCAGCAAACGGCTTCTCCTTATAAACTAGCCTAGATAAAATAGCTGTATAGACCCTAACAGGAGCTACACCAGCGTAATAGAATTTAATAATAATAATATATATATATATAAATATTATTATTAATAATATTAAATAGTAGAAGAAAGGTATTAGCTTTAATATTAGCCTTAGTAATTAGTGGTTAATTTAAGAATATATAAGGTATAGAGTATATTTAAATAAATATTATATTATATTAGGGGGTAATTAAGTAGTATAATATAAAAGAAAATATTTTTTAATTAAAAATCTTAGATTTAGTAGGTTTTTTAAAATAATATTAGTAATATATTAAATTTTTATTAAGCTAGAGCTTTAGCAAGAAATTAAATAGGGGTAAAAACTTTAATATTTTTTAGTAAAGTAGTTTAAAAATAGAAAATAATACATTTTAATAAAAAAATATAATTTAGTAAAAATTATTTATTTTATAAATTTTATACATGCTTAGTAATCTGCCTTTTAAGTATTTAGCACTATTAGTTACTAATAGCTGTAAATAATTATATTAGCAGCTAATAGCAGCATTTATAAGTATTTATAGCTAATAGTAGCTAAATACTTAAATTGCTTAAAAATTGCTGGAATAGCTAAAATAGCACTAAAACCTAAAAAAATACCGGTAAATTTTTTCCTAATAATAGTACTAGGCGAAAAATAGAAGATAGCCTTCTAAACTAGGTTTAAACTTTATAAGTATAGAGTAATACTATTTAGCTTAACTAATACCCCTGCAATATTTTAAGTATTTATTAACTATACGCTAAAATAATATCTTAACGTGTTTATAATCGTATATCTAGATAATATGCTAGTATATACTAATAGAACTTTGGAAAAATATAAGGAATACGTATAAAAGGTACTAAGAAAGCTGCAAGAGTTTAAGCTCCTAGTATATCTAAATAAAAGTAAGTTCTATATAAAGACTATAGGATTCCTTAGCTTTATTATATCTTGCGACGGAATTGCAATAGACCCTAAAAAAACCGTAGCGGTCTTAGAATAACTAAGGCCCTAAAATAGGAAAAATATCTAGTCTTTTCTTAGCTTTATAAGCTTCTATAGGAAGTTTATCTAGAAATACTCTAAAACTATAACACCTTTATAGAGATAACTAAAAAGGATAGAGAATTTAAATAGATAAAGTAGAAGAGGCATTCTAGAAGCTAAAGGAAAAGTTTACTATAGCCCTAATACTTACTATATTCGACCCTAAGAAAGAAACAACGGTTGAAGCAGATGCCTCTAACTTCGCAATAGACGCCTGCCTTGGTTAAAGACAGATAGACGGCAAACGACAGCTAGGAGCATTCTATTCGAGAAAGCTAACGCTGGCCGAACTAAACTACAATATCTACGACAAAGAGCTGTTAGCAATAGTCGCAGCTTTCGAATAATAGAGATTATACCTAGAAGGACCCAAATACCAGGGTACTATCTACTTAGACTATAAAAATCTCACGGCCTTCACCACTATAAAACAGTTAAATTAATAATAGGTACAATAGGCAGAGCTCCTCGCCTCCTTTAACTTTAAAATCTATTATAAGAAAGGATCAGAAAAAGGAGCCGTGGACACGCTTAGTAGATAATTAGACTACATAATAGGCACCAAACCAGTGCATGACGCACTACTTGCAAAAGACTAAGATGGTGCCCTACAGTACAATAACCCGAAACTTGCAGTTATCCTATAAACGGAAAACGGATGGATAAACAAGATACGGCAAAATGCGGCAGAATGCCAAGAAATGCAACAAATGGCCGAAAAGGGTGAAATCACCCTCAAAAAACGGAGAATGGCTAGAGAAGAAGTTAGGGTTTCTATTTGTACCCGCGACTCTCACCCACTCAAGGCTCTAAACTCATTGATGCCTGGTAAGACGACATTCCAGGGCGTAGAATACGCTGCCAGTGCTGCGGTAAGTTCTTTCAACTTCAGTCGTCTACTCGGAACATGACTAACCGTATACTAGGACTGGGGAACCACCGGCTCAGTCGGCTCAGACGTTATGGCATCCCACGTGAGGCAGGCCCTCAAGCAATGCCCCAAGACCAAGGTCTTCCTATCCGGATACAGTCAAGGTGCGATGATGCCGCACAAGGTCTTCAGCTATCAACACGTCCCGGCCGATCAAGTCACAGGCGTGGTAGTTTTCGGAGACACTATCAAATCTTCGAAATTTCCGCTGCCAGACAACCGAGTCAAGGAGTACTGTGCTGAAGGAGACCCTGTGTGTCTCAATGGCTCCAACGTCATGGCGCATATTACATACGGGAACGACGTCGCCGACGCAGCGAAGTTCGTACAGGGCGTCGCCTATGATACCATCTAGCTTTAGGAGTCACTTTGTGGAAAAATGAGCTCGACGGTCATGCCGGCAGCGGTTTTCGCATCTTTGGAATGAGAGAGGTCAAAGCCAAAAGGACAGGTTCCGCCATTGTAGCAGGATTCTGCCAGCGAGCTTTTGTTCCCATTTATTATTCTCCGGTATATATTTAGGGGGCCATTAATCGCACCCCCCCTCTGTGGTTGCGCGCACCCCCCCATATGTTTCCACACACCCCCCCTCTAGATACGGTTTGGCGCGCCCCGGGCCGACACCTTCCCACCAATAAGGAGCGCTCACAGACCGTTTATCATCCATCTCACTTGGAGGATCAACCATAGCGTGTAGGATAGGCCGAGGGGGGGGGGTGCGATTAATGGCCCCCTATATTTATAACATATCAGCAAGTCAATAATGACACCATTCTCAACTACATGATCCCTAGAGTTTCTCTGGAAATAGGCATGAGTCGTTTGCCTTTCAGTTTCACAAGAATGCTGGCCCAAGTTAACATTCTCTAATAACTTTGGATTTGAGAATTGATGACACGAGGCTCACTTCCAAAATTCGGTTAGGCCCATTCACTATATCAAAGAGTATTTCCAATCAGAATTTGAAGCCCACAAGGCTATCATCGGAGCGGGTCGGCTGCTCTTCCAGTAGTTAGTAGTAGTAAGTAAGATGAAGTTAAGTAAGTTGCTGAGAGGCCTCAAGGTGCAACTCTGGCGGTTCTACGTTAGCTTCCGAATCGTGGTCTTCGTGAATAGTACTCCACGTCCACCTCGACCTTGCCCGCCTCCCCAAGCAGCAGCTTCATTATATCTTCGTACCCGTTCACTTCTGCCCATTGTATCGCCGTATATCCATACATACCCGTCGCATCGACCTCAACCTTGTCCGTCTCAAGCAGCAACTCGATTACGGCTTCCTGCCTGTGCCCTACTGCCCAATGTAGCAGCGTGTCTCCTCCGCTGTCCATTATATTAACGTCGGCCTTGCCCGTCTCAAGCAGCAGCCTAACTATGGCTGTGTGCCCATTCTGTGCCGCCTCCCATAGCGGCGTCCGTCCATCCTCATCCTTCACATCAACCTCAATCTTGTCCGTCTCAAGCAGCAGCTTAACTACAGCTTTGTGCCCGTTTTGTGCCGCCTTCCATAGCGGCGTCTGTCCATTCTCATCCTTTACATCAACCTCAATCTTGTCTGTCCCAAGCAGCAGCTTGACTACATCTTCGTACCCACTCGCTGCCGCCTTCCATAGGGGCGTCTGTTTGTTCTTATCCTTTACATCAACCTCAACCTTGTCCGTCTCAAGCAGCAGCTTAACTACAGCTTCATGCCCGTTCTCTGCTGCCCACTGTAGCGGCGT